TGTTATGATCTTATCATGTGCTAAAATCCTTTTCTTTCCTCATCTGCTTTCATTTGTCTATATCTTCCTCCTTTTTTACCATCAAATTTTTAAAAGAAATAATTATAAGATCATGTCTTTTTTTGACTCCAAAACATACCACATTATATATTTTGGAAGCTCATATATAGACATCAGAAACTTTTATAACAAATGATTAACCGACTGAGACAGCTCATATTATATTTCTTACTGTGTGGGATGAATTATAATAACACAACTACCACTTGTATAACTGCTAGCACAATTCTGATTAATATCTTTCATCTAATTTTATCATCCACGATGAAGTTGGCAGTAAGATAAAGAGCACCAACAGATCCCATGCCAGTGTTAGTATTACAGTCAGAGGAGTCACGACCTTGGCTGTGCAGCGTTCGTGAATTGTCTCATATGTGCTCCACTTCTTTCCTTGTATCCACGCGCAGATATGGTGGCGAATGCAAACACACCCACAGACAGACATGCATGCATGGTCAAACAGCAAGGCCAAGGCTGTCTGCAGCCGCCCAGGGGCCTCATTGTCACATTCACTTACCACTGTTTAGGCATCATACTGGGGGGCTAAAATGAACTCCTCCTTTTTCTTCTCCCTACCAACGCAGAAAACTCAAACCCCACCAAAAAAAAAAACAACAACAACCCTCTGTTCATATTCAAAACACAGCTGTGATGAAAGTATATCATGCTATGTAGCTGTTGTACTTACATGTTTCTTTCCATGTATCAGGCAAATAATTTGCACATCCTGAACACTCAAAGTATTTTTATTGTTTCTGATGTCTCACAGTTCCTTGATTACACTTGCTTCTTATTTGTCTTGTAATATTTAGGGTCCACTGACTTGCAACATTGTTTTTATTTTTTAAATCTATAAAAAAAAAAGTGATAACCTACTTGGAAATAAAACTGTTTCTGATTCTGATATAATAGAAAACTGTAATAACCATAATGACACGCTTGCATATTGTCATGCTGATTTACAGATTATGCCAAATTAATTATAAGCAAATTATATATAACTTTAAATCGTTTTTTCCCCCTATGATTCAGTGACATGATTGGATTGTGGATGTGCAATCTGAATAGTGTTTATAATGCTATTTTACTGTCAGTGTTCCTCCAAACGCCACCAAACTGAATAATGTCATAATGATATACTGAATGAGTTTCAGCATGTCAAAATAATTTGCATTAGCCCTTTAAAGACAACCATATTGGTTTTACAGCTAGAAAACATGTGTGCCTCGTCTACAGGCCTGAATATAACCTATTAGGTTTTACCACCGAATACCTCAGCCCACTGGCCACAAGGTCAGGGCTCTTGTCTCCACAGTGAAAATCAAGGTATTGTCTTTCACATCACAAGTAGTTGGTTCAGTTGTACAGCTGTTCGCCTGGTGTAAGCAATAGACACCAGCACCTGTTCGCCATAAGGATGGAAGAGCCTGTGTGCCACCAGCTGAAACATTCAATCTCTTTCTATGTCCACTGTCAGCTAAATGTGATCTTTCTATCTGCAAAATTACTTTTTCTCTTTTTGTATCTGTGATGCTTTTTTGTTGTTGTTCTTGTTATTTATTATGTCTCGGGGATCCCTGTATGTGTATTCGATTGCACCTTTGTGCATGTGGTATTAAAAGCTTCCCTCACAGCTTTTTTATTTTTAAAAACAGAGGAGAGGGAGGCAATTATTTTTTAATTATGGTTTTTAAAGTGAAAGGGTGATTAACCTGTGCTAACCAAATATTATCATCTATATAGGGATCAAATGTGGCTTATAAAGTGTCGTAATTATTCAAACCAATATTGATTTAGAACATAATAATACTGTATACTATATAATGATACTAATAAAACCTCTATACTTTGCTCAAACATGATATATGTCATTTGGCTGTTGTTAAGGTCATTTGGTCAGTGTTGATGTTACTCTGTGTTTGTTTGCTGTCAAACACAGATTGTGAAACTGTGCTTATACTGGGAGTCTCCCACGTATAGAGTGTGTGTACAGTGGTGTGAGGGTGTATATACTGTACACACAATACATAGCCCCCTCGGAAATGTTACCCTGGCCCATGTGCTGGGGCGAAACACTCCTCTTATCTGCTTAAATGACACCACGCATTAGTTTTCACATCCCATGCAAACACATTTAACCTTTTGTATTTGCATTACTTTATTTATTCATTTCTTTTTTCAATTTTTTAATTTCGGCTTCTCATAAAATCCTGTTTGCTGAGCTAGATTATGCCAATGCTTCATTTCCCCTAAAATGTCAGATGGCACCCTCTAATGCCACGGATCCTTCTCTCAATCCCTTGAACCTACAGTCAGATTTTTTTTTTCCCTTCCTCTTTGAGGATTGTTTGTCTTTGCAGGTTGAGAATGTCACCCAAAAAAAAAACTTCTTTCTCTTGCATCGCTGAAGGGTGGACCAAGGAAAGCTACATGCACTTTTGGTCTGTTTGATCACCCTTATGGCTTTGCCGTTGGCATCACAAACACACACACAGTCCTTGAACTTTACAGAAAAAGTAAAAGAAAACAGATGCCCCTGAGCTACTATCACTTCCCCCTGTAAAATGTCTCATTGGAAGAAGAAGATGAAGACTTTGTTATGTAAAGTGCAATATTCAACCAAATACAAGTACAACACGATGCTAAGAATGGCATCGTGCACCTGGAAAGGAAAGACAAAGCTAAATTTGCAGCCCGGCTGGTGTTGCAAATGATCATATCTCACAGTCTGCAGCAGCTAATGAACTAACTTGCTCATCCATGCCAAGAATTTCGAGCTGAAACACCAGTACAGTCCTCCTAATCCACTTTAAATGACAGGCAGGATCTCTGACCCACTGCCCTGATTCACTACTGTTTTCTCCTTAGCACCACAGAGACTTAAACTTGTTTTGGTTTATCTTACAGCTTAGGCAAAAAAAAAAAAAAAAAAAGTAAGTAACATTATCCTCTTACTCAATTAAACATAAATCTTGGAGTAGCAGTAGCTCAAAAAGCAGACACTGGTGATGAAAGAACAATTTCATTCAGGCAATTGCTGAATAAATCAAACAGAAGTTAATATATATATATATATGTATGTATATATATATATATATATATACACCAGGGAGTAGCAGTAGCTCAAAAAGCAGACACTGGTGA